CCATGTTTTTAATTTCATTGTCGATTACATAAAATAACAAGGGTTTTCCTCCTAGAATTAAATGCCGTGAAAAATAAAGAAATAAGGAATATTATGTTTTTCTCTTCTCCCTTACGGGTCTTAATCCCTCTTCCCCATCTTTAATTATGGTACTAAAATAGACAAAAATTTAAGGCCTCATCACAGCCCCGCTCGTATGCGGCAGAAACGTTGTGGCGAGGTCAGTTCCCCCGATGCCTCCTCGCGGCAGACCATTTCGAGTCTAGCCCTCAGAACGGCCATAAATGACAGTCCCTAGACATGTCGAGTGCGGCCACCCGTCTCGCCATCTTTGAGGATTACTCGCAAGGCTCAGTGCGCCCAAAATCAGGGGTGCCCTGAGTTCCCCTAATTTTTGCTGCCTGGTCATATGAGAGTACCATCAATTCACGGACTTGTCCCGGAGCCTAGGTCCCAAAACTGCAGATTTCAGGCGGCGCACTGCTTGTGGCCGCCTGACAGCGGGTCACGGTCAGATATGATGCTCAGAGGTAAGCCGTGGTCACGCACGACTCGGTTAAACACGATGTCGGCGACCTCACGTGCACTGATGGCATAGTGGCACGGAACAAAGCGTGCACGCTTCGTGAAGCGGTCGACGACGACCAGGATAGCATTATGACCGCGAGGGGTCAGAGGACGAAGAGGACCGATAAAATCGATCGAGATGGACTGCCAACGACCCTTAGGGATAGGAAGAGGCTGGAGCAAACCATAAGGCAGGTGGTTCGCACTGTTCACCTCCTGACAGGTGGGACACTCTGCGACGTAGTCTTTCACAAAGTCCTTGCGATTCGTCCAGACGTACAGGCGGCTCACACGAGCCAACGACTTGTGGAAGCCCATATGACCGGTAGCTGCCTGGTCATGAAACTCTGCTAGTGCTCGGACACGTAGCTGTCCAGTGGAGGGAACGCAAATACGGGGCTCTCTGGTGCCCTGTGAATCGTGCGAGTTCCTCAGCGTCAGCGTCAGCGCGCGACGGCGGGGTGAACTCGATGGACGGCGGAGGGACGGAAGTAGAGATGGGAGCCATGGAGATGGAGGGAGGATCTGGCTCCAGAGGGATGAGCTCGGCGTCGGGACAGGGTGGATCTACGTGTAAGAGATCCGTCACGTCCACCATAAAGAAGGTGACGTCGTCCTGTCGAATGAAGTGAGCGAATTGCCGAGGCGAGGTGACAGTGATAGAGGGAGATGGTGTGGGCACTGAAGGCTTTGAGGGAGGAGGATCGGGGCATGGTGTCGCAGTGGTACCTATGAAAGGTACGCGATACGTCTGTCCACACTTCGTTTTGAGAACGAGAGTGTTGGTCGCCCAATCGGCCTCGGTGCTGCGGAACCGACGAGACCATGGAGTGTCGAGAATGAAGTCGTACCCCGTCTCCATCACATCGAAATGTGCAGAGGAGCGGTGGCGACGAGACGCTGGGGAATGATCAGTCGGCTCGAGAGTGAGGAAGAAGGGGAGGTCGGTGACCGTCTGATCGAAGAAGCGCTGGGTCTTGTCATCCCCTAGGGTAAC